AAAATTTGGGGACATTTCTGTTAAAGTTGTAAATGAGAATAGTCTGTCTACTGACGGCGAAGAATATCACATTTTACAAATACTTGTTTTATCAATATATGGTCATGGAACATATCTAAATTTCTTCTATCGTCAAGAAATCGAGCAGTATCTATTTCAACTTGTGTCTGACAGATAAGTGTAGTAACTATACCATAGTCGCAGAATAAGAAACAGTAAATATAAACATTGGACGTCATACTTTGAGAAACCAGTTATTTCTATCAAAATCAAATAACAAATAAATCATTTAATTGGAAATAAATTTAGTTTAATTTTATGTGATAAAATGTGATAAATAATTTAATTTTTATGTGAAATACTTGGATAATATAATTTCGTTATTTAACTTGATATGATATAATTTCTATTTTACAAATAGATTATTTCTGAAATGACTTTGAAAAAGTAATTTAAAAATAATGTTACCATGGCCTGTTATAACAATATAAAACACCCAGGTCTATTCAACACTAGATCCACTGACAACTAGAACATAAAATATTTATCAGGGATATTCAGTTAATTTTCTTGAAAATGACGCCTTAAATGAAAAAAATTTGATTCTACGCTTACTATTACACGTGGAATATATCCTATACTCGCGTCGATTATGCCTTTGATGAAACAATTTTTTCCCTTCTTTTCTTACATTTTCAGACGTAAATTTGCCAGTTGATTCTGCGGGTGAAAATAAGAAAAAAATGTCATCTAAACGCATGCTCATCCAAAACATCCCCTGTGACGAAAATTCAAAATGTCAGAACTCATGAATTTAGAGCTTTCGATAACAATCACAGAGAAAATATTGGACAACTTTTTCCTATTCAACTAGAAATACCTAGAACCATTTTCTACAAAATGAATTTTGTAGATTGCCAGAGATTTTAGAGGACACATCATTGTTCATTCGATGAAATCTGGAGATAGTTGGCCTTCATACTAATTGTAAGCAGCGAAAGTACGAAATTAGCGCTATTCACAAAGATAGATAGGTCGAGGAGGACAGATTTCTTAACCTGCAAGGTCGCCAGAGCTCGCGCCACTGGATTTTTACTTGAAACAAAAAAATTCGCCACGCAGAAGTTCATACGAATTCGCGAAGCTTTGGAAAGAATCTACGATGCTTTCGTTCACTTTAATGAAATGAAAGCGAATCGAAATTCGAAATACGATGAATTCGACTTCTGACGGATAGTAAACTTTTATTTGTATTTGTAAGAAAATTGTGTAAAAACATAGATAAGTATCATCAACTCTTACTTTGAATTTTCGTTTCACAGCCTCTTTGTTTTATGATTTTCTTCTCAGTTTGAAGAATTGAGAACATTCCACAGGACTGGAATTTTCTTTCGAATCGAAACCATTCCTTCAAATTCCTACCACGAATGGCATGTTGCAACTCGAAGGATCAACGAGGAATATTTGACGGCGCGAATCTGTTTATTTTTTTCTTATTTCATTCGGGGCAAAGGTTGCACCAGAGAAAGTAGGGACACCCTGTATATACAGACGTAGCAAAGCGCGATGTTGCGAGATGCGTTGCGCAGATGCCACCGAGTGGCTCTTCGTTCCTTGTTATGAAATCGCAAGGGGATTTATCATGACCCGACGTCGAATATAAACTTTCTACGAACGGGCAAACATGGCAGCCGAGCGGCGTTAGGATGACACCAGAAATAAAAACGGCCGATTACGCAAGCTCGGTGCCGTCCGACGTAACGTTTTGATTCATCACGTTTGTATTTTTCAATAAACGACGTCGAGTCGAGCAAATGCCGCGAACGTGCTCCGGCTGGCATCGATACGCAGATTCTGAATGGAACCGCGATGACATTGACAAGAACTCGTTGAAGTCTCACGTGCTGCCTTATACGCGCGATCGAGGAAGTTCGCCGAATTCAGTGCTTGAAAAGGACGAGCCGCACGCGTGATTCTCGCCTGCTGCAGGAGGAGGCTTGCATACGTCAGGCATTGAAACGCTTCTTTTTTTCCGCTTCTCCGAACGCTGCATCGCGTTATTTATCATGTTTCCTTGTGATCTGAACAATGTTCCAATTTTTTAGAAAGCCTGGTAAATATATGCACGTGTATATATACATATATATATATATATACACATTCGTTCTCGTGTTCACGATTGCTCGCATACTTTGTTGATGTTTTCGCTGACGAAAGGGTTGCCCTCACAGTTGCGTCGTAGTTAACCTAAACGTAGAATATTTCCGTCTCTCTGTACAGGTCCAGTCTTTGCGTCGAAAAGCCTTTCAAACGCGTGCACGTTCAAGCACGATTAATTTTATTAATGAGATTTGTCAACAAATTGCAGGACAGAAAGACAGGCCCAGATCTGTGCAAACCTCTCCCGCGAAATCAACAAGCTCTGGGAGATCATTTGGAGATGTATTCGACAATGATCCGGTTCAGGCACCAGCAGGTGCATTGTGCAGCCTTGAGGAGGAGGAGGAAAATGAAATTCTAAACGGTGAAGCGAGAGAAACGTGTTCCTTCAACTCTCAACTGTCCAAGACACTTCCGCAGATACTTGCAGACAAAGGTGCTCTAGGTTATTTCATTCAGTTTATGGAGATGCAAAACTGCATAGCGCTCATCAAGTTCTGGTTGGAAGTGGAATGCTTGTGCAGTTCGTTCAACGTGTTGGAAAACAAAGTGGAGAATGTCGAATGTTTGAATTGTGCGAGGAGTACCAATAGCATTACCAATTCGATGAACAACAATGAAAATTTCCAATGCCACGCGGCGCAGAACAACGTCAACAGTCATGAGGGCAAGAAACTGCTGCTTGACGAATATGTAAATAGCAATGATATGAAATCAAATTGCAACGACATGCCAAAGACTAGTCAAACCATAAGCAAAACGCGACAATCAAATCACGACTGCATCAGAAAAGATATGACCACCATTAGGCAGGATGCATTAAGAATTCACAAGAAGTATATTACTAAGGATATTCTCGGTGCAAATCAGATCCCTGAAGATCTGCAGGTGAAAATGGAGAAAGTTCTCAACTGTGAAAACATTGAGCCTATGTTGCAGTGCCTGTCAGCCGTACAAAAGATTGTATATCAGACATTAGAAAATGAGTGAGTATAAGAGCTTTTAAGAAGTGCCTATTGAACTATAAATAGTGCCTATAAATACAATTCTTTCTAGACACATTAACGACTTTTTACGAAGTGAATTTCACTGCAAACATCAGATTGATGTTCTTACAAGTGGCAACGTACAGTTGGCAGATATATTGTACAACGAAACTGCTTTCTTTTACTTTATGGAGTTCATGGAGCTTGAAAATAAACGTGAACTGTTAGACTTTTGGATGTCAGCCATGAGTTATAAACAAAATTTACTAGAGAAGAAAGGTGCTGCAAATCCTGAAGAAGCACAAGCTGATGCTCTAATTATTTATGACAAGTACTCTTTTTCAATACATTCTCTTTTTTTTGTAATTCTTCAAGTAGATTAGTAACCAAGTCATTAATATTATCATCATATGTACATCATTACAGATATTTTAGCTTACAAGCAACGATGCCCCTTGGTTTTAGTGACAAAATTCGTTTCCAAGTCGAGCAAAACATTTGTCGCGAGAACGGAGAGGGACCGCAACCTGATTGCTTCGATAAACCATGTAGAATTGTATATAATTTCTTGAGTAAGGTAAAAAATAACGTGTTGACATAACAGAAAATGCTAGTGCTCCTAGAGAATGGTTGATAAAAATCAATAAGATACTGATAAGATTCAATGAATTTAACTTCAGATAACGACAAACTTTTTTCCAGTATTATCTACCTACTTTCTTATCATCTCAGTTATATTACAAATATTTATCAGAATTAATCAGTACTATACAAAGCAGTCCATGTTCGAATTTACATCTCAGGCTAAAAAGAGCAGGTTTGTGTTGATTTACGTTTATCATATTGCAGTATAAAAATAAAGTAATTTGTAAAAACAAAGAAATATCTGCAGGTTCTGATTGTAGTAGCGAGGTCAGTTCTGTTAGTATTAATATGCAGAATACCCTGCAGGCAGGGAATGAAGGAAATAGATTGAGCAATAATAAAAATATTACCAGTGGTATGAACATTGATACCAGACAACTGTATGATCCAGATTCTTTGTGGAAACGTAACAAATATAGGTAATTGATGAAGTAAAAATATTGTGCAATAAACATTCCAAGAACGTCTGATTTATTTTATAGTTTGAGCGTCGGTTATATTGATAATCTAGGCAGATTCATTACTGAAATAGAGCCTGATCCTCAAAGGAAATATGGTGAGTTATTTACTTAATTGTTTCAATTGTATCAATATATCATATATATAAAATTGTTAATAATGTATAATTTTAGAATCTCGATTAACACGTGCTGTAAAAAGACTTGTAAATATGGAGCAGGATAAGGTAAATTTCACGTTTATCAGTAATATTATTATATAAAGTAATTATGTGATGTATAAATTTCAATTATAATCAAAATAATTAGGCTAAAGAGGAGTTAGCATGGAAGATTGCCGAGATGATCATTCGTGAGATCACCTCTTTGACTTTAGGAACCTCGAATTTTCCATCTTGATGACAGTCACTACGTTCGACATCAGTTTATTTACTTTTTTGTGTAATATACTTTGCAGTTTTAGTATCTCAAGGTAAATATTCTGTTTAACGTTACATGTTTTTTTTCTCTAATTTTTTATGGAACGACATAGAGTATTCCACTAAAGTGCCAAATTGAATATTGACAAACTTAATTGTTTTACCGTCGAACAATCCGGGAAAGGAGTGTTTAAGTTTGTATTTATAAGTTTTTACATATTTATTTGCTTTCTGTACTACATTTAAAATATACGCGTTTAGTATTAAATCCATTGCAGAATAAGAGTTCTTCTTTTGAAAAGTGATCGTTTAATTGTGATATTATGCCACTTTGTTCGTACATTTGTAACGAGTTTCATAACTTCGAGTTTCGTGAAAAATTATTTTAAAAAAACGAATAATGATGATGTCACTGTAAATACGAAGCTTTCCCGTTTATTTAAGGCTTAATTAAGGCACAATAGCGAACCGTGCAAAACGAAAACAATAATTTTCAAGTGCTTTAACTTCATACTCTTTCTAACGTCTATGAGATTATAAAAGTATTCGTTTCTATTATAAGATGTAATTATGATATTTTTAAGACGTGCGAAGCATATAGTTTTGCGTTCGAAATAGCATACTACCTTTTCAATTGTTCGACTGCCAAGGTCTTTTCATTTTAGTAAGTCTTATATTTTTGATGAGCGCGTTTCTTATTGAGAAGCGTAAGAGATGAAAAGAATATTTTACATGATTTTTACGACATATCGTAAAAGAGCGTGAATAGAATACGGCATATAACATAATACGCAGTTTAGATATTAGAAAGTGAGTGATCATTTGTCAAAGATGTCGATTTTTAGCAGTGGAGTTCTCGAATGGTAATTTCATTCATTTCGCATGAATCTTCTGCAGTAATAATTCTTACGTATTCTTATGTGTTTTACATGTTTATACTTGGCAGTATTTATTAGACGTAATTTTAAAGTGACGTACACAGAACGTTCAATTCGTTACTGTAGAGTCGGGAGAACTTCCATACGTTAGTCTTATATAGCTAGACTTAGTTGATAGTATGTGTGTGTGTGTGTGTATATATATATACATATATATATATATATATATATATACACATATACACATATACATAACATTATACAAAAATTATTTTATTAAAATCGAGTCTATTTTTAAAAGAAAGTATTTAAAAAACGAGCAACTGATATATGTAACGTACTAAGAAAATGATTTAGATAATGTGAAACGAATATACGCAAGTCTAAGACTAATGTTTCTAAAATATTAGTCAACCGAGTTTAATGACGCACGATAGTTCCTTTCCGTTTAAAGGTAAAAGAATGATTATTTTAGAAATAAATTAATCAATTCTGCATAATCAATTCTTACAGTATTTTGGCAATTTCTACTCGTACGATGATTTACAGTTTTAAAGGTAAAAAACATTACGTTCTTACATGTAACAAACACTAAAGTTTAGTGTATTAGTATGAATAAATAAATTTTACGTTAGTTGTTATCTTCCTCACATTTGTGTAGTTACTTTGGTGCTATACGTAAATATAACTTGTTGCTGAAAAACATAGCCTTGGTACTCTTTGTAAGATATATGTAAGATAAATCTCTAAACGAATGAACGTTCGATCATTTGTTAATAGTGATGTACATAAAAATTTTTTTTATTAAAAGGAAAAGGGTTGTTGTATAAATAAAATCGATTAAACAAAGAAATCGACGTATCTCCTTTGAAAAATCTACATATATTATATTCTTTAAAGATGCTCTTTATTAATAATCATAACATCTTTATTAATAAAAACAACAAAATCAATGAATCATCATGTTTTTAAATATATTATTATTTTTTAATATATTTATAATTTCTACGTGATGAATTCGTAAAAAATTCAGTTATGTTTAACAATTTGCAATTTACTTATACTGAATTCTACATTAAATGCATGAAAAAGTTATACTGATAACTAACGCAAAAAATAAAATCTCTTAACATTTACAACAATTAACAAATGTGTTTATCAAATTAGTACGAAGAATTAATTTTTTATAAAGCTCTTTACCATTATATTATATAATCTCTAGAAAATCTTACTTTATAACGTGTACGTAAAAAAAGAAATCTGTCATATTTACAATATTTTCCTATAAATAGTTATTCCTTTCATATTTTTCCTGTGAGCCATTGAGCATATTATCTCTTTAAAGAAGATTGAAAAATTTGTAAATATTAAAAATATAGTTTCTTCTAAAAAGAGTGATAAAAGGCAGTAGATTTTTTATCTTTATGGTTTAAAGAGGGATATTCTTGTATCACAGTTCTCAAAACGATGAGGACCCGTTAATACTCGTATGTGGAGGACACCCGAATTTTGGATCTAATAAAGGTGATGATTCCGACAATCGCATACTGGTATCCCCTTTTGTGATTTGACTCAAATTGAAGTTCCCTAACTTCTGACAGCATTCCAGTCGAAACTTTTCCCTCTTACCCCAGCTTTTATAGACAAGAGCATTGAAGAAAGCTTGAAGAGGATTCGTCACAGCCTGTCGACAAAATATTTTCGTAAATCAAGTTTGTCACGTTACTTCTAAAAAGAGATACATACCATTATGTACCAAAGAATAATAATGGCCTTGATTGGCAGTTGGAACCACAAAGTCCATAACAAAATTCCATTAATTAAATTCGGTAGCCAGCATACATAGTATACAAAGTTAGTTAATGCAAATTTGAGCTTTATCGCTTGCACCAATTTTCTTTCTCTCCCTGTCATTTGTGCCAAACTGCAAGTGATAGCAGTTTGAAGATCTCGCGTCGACGCGAAGTATAACAGAGGATTGATTATCATAACCACTGCTAGTAGCACGTAGGTAGCACAATAGTTTGGCAGAATACGTAATATGGCGGTGGATAATGATGTTAAATTATGGCAACTGGAAGAAAAAGTTTCATCATACTTTAAAGAACTAACAATTAGCAAAATCGTTGTGTATAGTCGAATTGAAAGAAACTAACTTCGCATCTGGTACGTATAAAATTGTTAAACCAAATGTTGTTAAAATTGCTGGACATATCCAGGCGAAAGCATGATAACAAGTGGGATGTCCAGATCTGTCTCCTAGTAACAGTTTCATGTCTATGGCGTAGCAAAGGGTCCAGATCCATGTTGCCATATAAAAATACTGCGTCCAAGCCTGATAGATTTTTTTTTACATTAATACGATAAAAATTATAATTAATGCAAGTAGTTAACACGATGAATATAATTAATTTAATACAATTATTTTACCGATGAAAGTGCACAAAAAACAACGCTTGAAGTATCATCTTCCATTGGCATTATGGATTTAAAGTTCACCCATAGCGCTGATCTGATAAATACACCTGAAAAAACAGCATGAAGAAAAATTGCGTTCTTTTTCATTTACATATTTATTCATATTTTACTAATAACAAATGTGACTACCCAACGATGCCAGGAGATCTGCAATCGCAAGCCATATGATGATCTCTCTTCCTCTAGACATGGAAAAACTTTGCCATCTATGGGGAAGATCAGACATCTCCCTTGGAAGTATCTGTAAAATATAATTTCATGAGTGTTTCATAAAACTATATTAAAGTTTCTCTTACCTGGTACACTGCACCTAGGATACCAATGGAAGAGGAAAGCATACAAACAGTGTTGTATGCGTCTGTATTGAACTCTTGCATAATCATAATTGCCATGTCTGTATTGTTGGAATGATGACAACAGAATGTTTGTATCGTCGGATCAGCCATGCTTTGAGCTTTGATCTCTCAAAAGATCAGTTTAATGTGTGTAATAAGAGGGAAATGTTGTAAACAAGTGTTTGACAAGAATAAAAAATGTCCGATGTACATCCAAACTTGTACAATTTTGATCGAGCGATTTGCAATCATTCAAGGGAATTTTTTTCCAGGAATCAATAAGACTCCGTTCATTTTTATCTTAAAACGAAGCCGTACGAGATCACCGGTATATTCATCTGCACGCCATAATTGAAACTTTATGCTCCGACACGGACAACATAAAGACTAGACTTGATATTTCACAGTTTTTCGTTCTTACATCGCTGCACCAGTTGGATCCAAGATTCAATAGATAACACTTGATCGTAGATCGTATAAAGAATATTACGCGATAGAGGTAGATACATGCACATGTCAGAAATATGAAATGCATTACTGTGTAACAGTAGTAGTAGTAATAATTAATTCCATTGCGATCGCAATAATGTCTCAGTATCTATAAATAGATTATATTATAATTTCTAATTCCAAACCTCTTAACGGGAGACTAACAAGTCAACTCGTTATTGGGAAGTTGGAAAATTGTTAGAAACTTAGGGTGAATCTTGCTTGCTAGAGAAGCATTTTTCGGTGACGAGTTATCATTTCGGGTTAAAAGATTAAGAGGATCAATCTTTGAACTTAATGAAACTCGCGACTTTCTTCTTTCGTTCCATTTCGATTTCGATACGCACTTTGTCAAAATGTACTCGTCGTGCAAATTAATTAGGTTCCAAGTTATGTAGATTTATAAATTAGCACGACTTGTGTGTAGGAATAACATGTACTGTAAGAAATGATCTGTAATAATACTTTCTAAGAATATTGTTATGATTATAAGAGTTGTGATATTAATTGTGTGACTTGTATCCCGCTTGTAACTTCAAAATAAGCAGTATATAGTAATTTCAAATATATAGTAATATTTTTACAGTAAAAGTATAATATAGTAAAATAAAGTTATATAAATTATTATAATATAATAAGTATAGTAAAATTATATAAAGTAATATAATATAGTTATAATATAGTAATAATAAAGTTATTAGTAATATACTCAATGTACTCACTATATAGTAAGATATAGTAATATATAGTAAGATATATAATACTGTATAGCAATATGTATATAGTTACTATATACAGGATGTCTCACACAAGCAGGTATATATTACTATATATTACTATACAGCAAATATGTATATAACTAATAATATAACAAAGTATGTAGTAATTATACGTTATTAAAGACTGTCGATAACAGTTAAAGCTAATTAATTCTTCAATCAATAATTTGATCAGAGAGAATTTCGACAATAGTTCAAAATTTACCATTAATTGTAAGTTTGAACGTCGTTTCGTCAATCTCTTTACACTTTGATTTGTTCATTTACATTTTTCTTTATTCACATTCAACGCGCGCAACAAAAATTTTCAACGATTCGACTCGATACGAATTTTCTTATAGTTTATAAAATTTTAATTTTAAACGTATCTACTTACATCTTCGTGGTTTTTTTACATGTTTTGTTACTAATTTACATACTTTCAGTTCTATTCTAGTCACATTTTCAATTTAAATGAGTTTGGAGCAGTAAACAATAAACCAATGGAAACAGCTCAATTTTTTTTCGTTATACTATTTGATTCTTCTTCGAAGAATGATAAAACATATACAGTTAAAATCTTGATTTGTCAAACTAGAGATATGATACATATATTGCTTTTGTGTGTGTGCGCGCGCATGAATATGAAGTGCCGAGATATGAAGGAAAAAAGAATCTCGATTATAGGTGGTTTTTTATTATTACTGATTAGTATCAATTACGTATTTAACATTCAATTATATTTATTATATACTTTCCGTAATAAAAGTATTATGTTTCAACTGCTTCTTCTTCCTCCTTTTTGGCATGTTTGCTCCATTTAGAAGCTCTGGCTTCTGGATATTTCTCAACGTGAAAGCTGCACAGATCGCCGTATTCAGCTCTTAACTTGACTACAACATCATCTTGATTCCTCAAACGTTCTTGTTTACGTAAATGAAATTGCCACGAAGGCAATTTGCTAAAAGGCGAACTGCGTTGTTTCTTCTCCAAAATAACTTTTCCATTCATTACGTACTGTCTAAAATCTAAATTTTCGTCTCTTGGAACTTCTTTAGAGGTTCGAGCTACTGGTGGCGAAGCAAGTAGCGTGGGAAAATAATTATTTTCTTTTCTCATTTCGACTAGATGCAATTTTTTCTCATTTGCCATTTCTTCGAACGTTTTCTGAAAATATCATCATTATTGGAGAATATATTGTTAAGTTTCATAATAATTTAATATAAAGAAAGAAATGGTCTCTTTATATTTATAATTTTAATCAACGCACCTGTCGCAATAAGCCAGCAAAGAAAGCTTTTACGATGTTAAGAATATTATCAGATCCTTCAACTTTAACATGTAAATCTTTGATACCAATTGCTTCGCAGCATGTTCTAACAATACGATGACACTTCAATCCATAACCCTTTTGCTTCTGTTTTACAAAAACTTTTGTTTTTCCAAATTGTGAGAAAAAGTCATGAAGCACTTAAATAAATAAAAGGTATAATAATTTTATCCAGTTATAGAATTAATGATACATAAAACGTAAAAAGAGGATTACCTACCAGTATGCTCATTATATCTTTCAATGTACATCAATCTCAATCCTGCCCTGTTTTTGGCTAAATTTAAAGCTGGTTTAAATTCACGCCCTGTTACCACTGCAAATCCAGCCAAACCTTTCCTATTTCCAGTCACAACCATACTACGAACACGTTTTGAACGGCCCATGGTGCTTGTCATAACAGTTATTGGTTTGGCATATAGTATCCAACTTTCAAATCCATCAAAGGTATCTGAAATTGAAGATAT